ATTCATGGTAAGTGCCATATAGGTGTACCACTTTTTATCTTTTATTATGTTTTACTGTACCTTTTCTGTTTAGATACACAAATACTTACCATTGTGTTACAACTGCCCATTGTATTCAGTACAGTAACGTGCTATATAGGTTTGTAGCCTAGGAGCAATAGGTTATATGGTAGGTAGCCTAGGTATATAGTAGGCTATACCATCTAGGTTTGCGTAAGTACACTCTATGATGTTTGAACAATGATAAAATTGCCGAAGTACACATTTATCAGAATGTTCTCTCATCCTTAAGTGATGCGTGACTGTAGACATAAATATATATATGAAATAGCCAAGATGTGGCCCAAAACAGGGAAATCATTTCTCAATCCCCCTCCCCACCACGTATATCTTGGAGAAATTATATATATTTCCATTAAACGTTATCTTTTCATTATCTTAGCATCTTATCATTATCATATCTTAGTATATTCATGGATTGCTGCTTGTTATTAGCAACATAGAAAATAAAAATTCTCTTTTATGTGCAACATTATATTTTAAAAATTGTTAAAAACACTTTAAATTTGTTTTTGCTGGTATAGAAATCATAAAGGCTATAACATTTTATCTTTTCATACAAAGATATTTATATGGATTCATTCTTTCTGCCCATAATATACATTCATATTTCAAGTAGGAATTCTAAGTTTAAAAATATTTTTGAAATAATGAAAACTTCATATTTTCAATTAATGATTTCTCTATACAAATTTACTTGAGGCAGCAAGAACTCTGAATATCATTTAAAAATTATCAAACACATAAAAGTACAGAGAGTAGTATAAATGAACTCTCATATGCTCTCCACCCAGCCTTTACAATTACAAACATTTTGCCACTGAAATATCATTTAAAAATTCAATTTGCTTATCATACATTTGCAGAAATTACAACTTTCTGAGGTCACAGACTCTTTTCAAAAGGAATAAGTCCTTATTTGTAAAAATATGAAGGTTAACTCAGCCATGTTAAAAGAGAGTAACAGTTAAAAATGACTAATGACATATAACTGGCATAGGCAAAAACTTGTAATTTTTCATATCATCAGTCTTTCATTCCCTCCTTAATATCACAATACTTTTCCAGAGTAGTGAAAACAGAGGATTTCTCAGCTGTAAGCTTGCCCCATCCTACACTTAGCCTTGTGTTAAAATAGGAATCTCTTTCAGAGCCCCTTTTTAAAAAAAAATATAGGTTTATTGAAGTATAATTTACTATACTTCAATAGTAGAAGTATTTGGAGTAGCTAGGGCACTCCCATAAAATTCTTAAAACTCACCATGTAGTTTAAAAGATTTTCAGAAAATTCCTAGAGTTGGGCTCCTATCAACATAATCCAATTCTAGATTTCCATTGCCCTCAAAAGTGCCCCACTCATTTAGCATCACTGTAGGAGCTACATCAGAAAGACTTCTTAATGCATTTATGCTGTTATTTTTGTTTTGTTTTTTTAATCATTCCATTTGGTGCCAAAGATGTATGCTGTTATATGGCAGGAAATGGGGTGAACTGGAGGCCACAGTGGTGAATAAAGGTGGTTTAACCCTCCTGACTTAATTTATCTTTATTTTACTCTTTCCTTGAGGGTCACTGTAATGGAGTGGTTGCTACAGTTCCCCAACTGTGTGTTCCATGTACAGAAGCACATTTAAGCTCCTCAGAATGTGCCATCCCCTTCACATATTTTGAGCTTTTTCTGCCTAAGGGGGGCATTAATTCACAAAAGGAATACTTATCATCATTTTATTTCATTGTTATTCAATTTGGTAACTCATAAAATTTAAGACATAGTTTTCCTTAAGCTTTTAGGCTCAGCTTACAATCTTATTTTTTGTTAAAAAAAATCACTTTCACTTATTCTTTGACTCATATTCAGTTAATTCATAAATTTGACAGAATAAATTTCCCAAATACTGTGTTTCCTGGAAAATAAGACCTACCCATAAAATAAGCCCTAGCAGGATTTCTAAGCATTTGCACAATATAAGCCCTACCCTGAAAATAAGACCTAGTGATGGGCGTGGCTTCGCAGCATATCTGCACAACCCATGCATTTTGCTGGGAAGGTCAAGAAGATGAGCAGCCCTTCTCATCTGCCCCATCGTAACAGCTACTATCCCAGAGGTGACCAGAAAGGTGCAGCAGCCCCACCAGCAAGGTCGGCTCCCCCTGTCAGGTCCCAGTCATCCTGTGTGTGCTGCAAGCTAAGGCTTTGAGGGGAAAATAACACATCCCTTGAAAATAAGCCCTAGGGTGTCTTCTTGAGGAAAATCAAATATAAGACTCTGTCTTATTTTCGGGGAAACACAGTAGTAAACATTATGTACATAACTAGTGAAAAAAATTGTAATTTATTACTTCTTTTCTCTAACATGTCAAGCACCCAAGAATTTAAACTAACAAGTCTTGTTAACCTCTGCTAAGGACTGAATGTTTGAATCATCTCAAAATTCCTATGTTGAAGCCCTAAAGTCATGCTATTTGGAGGTGGAGGGTTTGGGAAGTAATTAGGTCATGAGGGTGGAACCATAATGTTGGGACTTAATGTCTTCTATTTTTTTTTGAGACAGAGTCTCACTCTGTTGCCCGGGTTAGAGTGCTGTGGCATAAGCCTAGCTCACAGCAACTTCAAACTCCTGGGCTCGAGGAATCCTTCTGTCTCAACCTCCTGAGTAGCTGGGACTACAGGCATGTACCACCATGCCTGGCTAATTTTTTTCTATTTGTTAGTAGAGACAGGGTCTCACTCTTGCTCAGGCTGGTCTTGAATTCCTGAGCTCAAACGATCTGCACACCTCAGCCTCGCAGAGTGCTAGGATTACAGGCGTGAGCCACTGTGCCTGGCTGGGACTTCATGTCTATATAAGAAGATGAAGAGAGCTAGCTAGCCCTCTTTGGATCATGTGAGGATACAGCAAGAAGCCAAGAAATGGTTTTAATCAGACACCAGATCTGCCAGTGCCTTGATCTTGGACTTCTCAGCCTCCAGAACTGTCAGAAATCAATGTTTACTGTTTAAGTAACCCAGTCTATAGTATTTTTATAATAGCAGTCTGAGGTAAGACAAACTCTTAAAAAACTCTTTTAATTTTTATTACATCAAGCTGATGTATTTACCTTTTGAAATTAAATATTTAAAAAAATCTTTAAAAAATAAAAAAATAAAGGGTATATACTTAGAGCAGTGCAATAATTATAAAACCTGTACAATCCATTCTTCCAACTAAGATAACTGAGTTAAGAATTTGGGTCCATGATGTAGAGAAGGACTTTTCCAGGTCATTGGGTTCTAATTTTCTTTTACTGTAACTATTATGGAATATCCTGCATTAAGGTCTAATGTGTACTATTGAAATCTTGTTCAGGCTATAGTTGCATGCCATATATTGGTTTCTTAAGTGTCTCACTGATTTGAAGATTTGGAGAAATGACATTATAAATTCAATGAGATTTGGCTACCAAAATAAGATAGGATGTCCTCTTAGGTAAGATTTAGGACAAGGAAGAAGAGTCCCTCTCTATTATTTGCTTGTGAAATCATGGCTAAATTATACATAATTAATTCTGGATACCACACTTTAGCTGGGGCACTGACACAATGGAGTATATATTCAGATCATCAGGATGGTGAAGGAACCTAAAACCATTATATGAGGCAGGGGTAAAAAAAAAATTCCCCAGGGAAGGAGAAAAACAACTCCAAAGAACATCATGTGGAAGATTTTTCTGTATGTTCTACAAAACCAGGATCAAGTTGAAGGTTACACAAACACAGGTTTCAACCAGGCAGATACTGTGGAAAAAGACTCGACCTGAAAGGAGATGAACCAGATCTCACTCTACTTATGATTAGATGACATGGGTCCTTGGGGCAAGTTATTTAAATTCTGGAAGCTAGTGCTGTCTAATAGAACTTTCTGCAATGATGGAAATGTTCTCTATCTTTACTGTCCAATACAGTAGCCACTAACCACAGGCTCAATACCTGAAATGTGGATTGTGTGACTGAGGAACTGAATTTTTAATTTAATTTAAATTAATTTGAATTTAAATAGGCACATGTGGCTACTGACTATGGTATTTGAAAGGCACCGCTTAAGCCTAATTTTCTCCTCTCTAAAATGGGAATAATAATTCTGATCAAATTGCTGACTTTAGGATCAAATTATAACATATGTGAACTCCAAAAAACAAAAATACTACGTACATGTTAATTATTTAGATAATTATCTTACTATTGCTTTATCCACAAGACTTTCTATCATTTGTAATTAGAGAAAAATGGAATAAGCAGCTTGAGAAAGCAGAGTTTCCCACGTTTGGTTTTCACATATAGGTTTGAGGTTGTCAGAAGTTACAGAAACAATAAAACATTCAGGAGTGTTGGGCTAAACCATCCTTCGAGTGCCTGCATGGACCTCCAGGAGGTTCTCCCTGACTCCGGAGACTGAGTTAATGGCCCTCGTCTATGCACTACCGAGACACTTTCCACACTGTATTGTAAAAATGGTCTATATAGTCCAGTTGTATCCGAGAACATATGCCTCATCCCGATGTCTTTCCGGTTGTCAACTGCGGGGTACACAGTAGTTCCTCAACCTATATTTGTTAAATGATTAACTTACCGACTACTCGCGAGGGTACGGTTCCTTGATAATAACTTAAGGATCTATCAGTCTGTGGGAAATATTACAGTTCCTTGCGGGCAATGTGGATGAACACCGGCTTGCTGCAAATGCACAGTGCACCTCCGGTGCCAGAAGGCCTGCCTGCGGCGCCCTTTTTCTTTCGCCCTTTTCCTCCTCCGCGTCTGCAGGCCGTGGAGGACCTCGCGCCCACGAGGTCACGGCAGCCCGCGCCGTCGTGGAGACCGGCGGGGCGCGGAGAGAGAACTACATTTCCCAGCTGACTCTCCTGCGCGCGGCGCTGCCCGCGCACGGGGGGCGAGAGTACCGGGCGCTCGCTCCCTGCCGAGCGCTCGTCGCCCGCCCGAGCCTTTGCCAGGGGATGAGGTGGGAGGCGCTAGAAGCCACTTAGCTACAGCCAACCGCCCAATGCAGCACTCGCTCGCTCCCCCCGCCAGCGGAAGCGCCCGCGGAGCACAATGCAGCACTGAGGCAGCGCCGCGGTGGAGGCTGCAGCGCCGCGGCATCCGCAGCACCGGCTGGGGCTGGGAGGAGGCGGCCGTGCGGACCCGCGGGGCGCCGAGCCAGGGAGCCGGGCTCGGCTGCTCCAGCATGAGGAGCTGAGCGTCTCGGGCGAGGCGGGCTGACGGCAGCACCATGCAGGCGTCGGCGGCTGCGTCCGTGCCCTTCTTGCTGCTCTGCGCCCTAGGGACCTGCCCCCCGGCGCGCTGCGGCCAGGCAGGTAAGTTAGCCACCCTCTGTGGCTTCGGGACGTACCATTTTCCGGGAATCTTTGGAGCCCTCCGGCGCAATGGATAGGGGCGCCCCCATTTCCCGGGTGCGCGGGGAGAATTTTTATCTGGAAGGGAGATGAGAAGTGGAGCAAAAATATATGTGTGGGGGCGAGCGGGTGCATTGGAAGCCTGCGGTCAAAAGCCTGTTTTTCTTCTTCTGAAGAGGAGTGGGGAGGATGGGAAAGGGGTGCCTTGCTTCTGGGCCCCGATCCTGGATGCTTCCAGATGAGCTGGTCCAAAGCTCTCCGGCTGGTGTCTCCGCGTCCTTCCCAGATGGGGTCCGGGAAGGAGGGGGCAGCGGGTTTTCGTAGAGGAGACGTAGCACCGCAGGATAGAGGAGCGTGGGTCAGGGTCATTATTTTCGCCTTTTCTTTCTACTTCCTCCATCCCCCCTTCCTGCCTGGAGGAGACGCCTCGCTGACGGACCTGGAGAAGAGGAACGAAAACCGCTTCCTGGAGCGCCAGAGCATCGTACCACTGCGCCTCATCTACCGCTCCGGTGGCGAAGACGAAACTCGGCACGACGCGCTGGACACGCGAGTGCGGGGCGGCCCCGGCGGCCGGCAGGTGAGAGGCGCGGTCGGCGGTGGTCCTGCCCGCCCGCGACCCCGCGTTTGCTCTCGGTTGCCCTGGAGACGCGCTGTCTCGGATGGAGCGAGCGCAGTCCTCATTCGAGTTATGCATGGCGCTCCCTGTGTAAAAAAGAAGGGAAAAGGGTACAAATCCCCCCCCCCCCCAAGAACCACAGGCCGGGGGCTTTGCTCTAGGGAAGTTTGTGCGGGGTGCCTCCAGCAGTGCGGTAACCTGAGCTAAAGGGCGGAGGCCCTCTCGTCTCTCCGTAAGCAAAAGCCCTGCCCATGGGAGAAAGGACATAGTATTTGGGCAGTTTTTGAGTATAATAAATGTTACTTTTTTAATCCTCCAAGAGAATATAAGTGATACTGTAGAAACATTGTAAAAACCAAGGTTGCACCTTCCTAAAAAGCCCAAACTGTAAAAATCACCTAAACTTCTAGGTTCTCCGTTCACTTGATTTGTGTACACCCAAGATATTTCCGTACACCTCTACCTTCCCCTTTTTTGTGCGTAGTAGTTCTCTTGGTTTAATTAGGGGTGTGGTGTTTATTGAGCATTTATAAATAACGTTTTAAAAATCTAGTTCATCATTGTGCCCATATTTAGATCAATATCACACATCCACAGATATTCCTGAAAATTATTTTGAACTTATTGGCTAATTTCAGTAATTTTGGGGGGGGGGAGGGATATGTAAATATGTTTTGTATTTACATACATCAGCCTGGCAGGCAGTTCACCTACCTGTAAGCACATATTGGACTTGTTCATGTAGTTGAAAATTTTTGTAAACTTCACTGAAGCAAAGGCAGTGCTTTACACATTTTCACTCGTGTAAATATGTTCAGTACTTTAAGATACATCTTGGCCAGGCATGGTAGCTCATGCCTGTAAACTTAGCACTTTGGGAGGCTGAGGTGGGAGGAGGGCTTGAGGCCTGGAGTTCAAGACTAGCCTAGGAAAATAGGGAGATCCCCATTTCTACAAAAAATAGAAAAAATTAGTTGGCTAAATGGTGAGGGCCTGTAGTCCCAGTTACACAGGTGGCTGAAGCAGGAGGATAGTTTAAGCACAGGAGTTTGAGGCTGCAGTGAACCATGACTGAGCTGTTGCTGAGCTCTAGTCCTGTCTCAAAAAAAAAAAATATATATATATATATATCTTGATGAGGTAATAATTATGCTAACTTCTCTGTATGTACAAAAATGTAAAAATATTATTTGAATATGTATTTGTAGCCAAATACTTCTGTTAAAATTTTCTTAATATAAGGTAGGAAATTAAAGGGCTACAGTAATATCTATCAAAGTTTTAGATTATTGTAGTAGAAAATATAATTTGTTAAGCCTCTAATGAAGAATTCTTTTATTTGAGTTAACATTTGGTTAATGCTTATTCCTTTTCTATTTTGCCTTGTTTCTATGGTAAAACTGAAGAAGCAAGGGATACAGTTTCCTTGTCTTATTTTTCAATTAATTAGGATTATTTCTGTGGAGGAATATTCTGACACCCATTTTAACTTTTAGTTACTAAAAAATTCAAACACATGAAAGTAGATAGAACAACATAATTAACTTTCAGCTTCAACAGTTAGCAACTCATGGCCATTCTTATTTTGTCTCTATACCTTACCTATTTTCTTCCCTTTCCTGTATTATTTTGAAGCAAATCATATCATTTCATTCATAAAAAATTTCAGTAATATACCTATAAAATATAAAGATTCTTTAAAAAATCTAACCATAATGTTATATTTTCTCTTACTACTATCAAAAGTATATATACTGTATATATTTAAGTTTGTTTGCCTGAGCCAGGTCCTAAAATAATGTCTGTAGACTCCAATTAGTTTTTTGGTTTGTTTTTTAAGTCTTTTAATGTATGATTTTCTGCTTCTATTTCCTTTTTTTCCCCCTTGCCATAATTTCACTGAAGACATGAGGTCTTCCATCCCTTATAGTTTCTCAGTCTGGATTTTGCTGAGATAGATAGCCAGTGCTTTAGAACAAATCACAGACTCTTTCTGGGAGACAAAGGGAGACTAAAGAAAGTAGAAATACAAAGAAAACCACAGGATTAAATCTGGAAACTATCAGAATCTCTGCCTTATGCTGGTAATGTCTTCAAGGCACCTTCTGCCCTTCTCAGTTTTGGTGAAGGACCACTAGTCCGCCTCCTTTTCTCCCCATTTATGGAGCACCACATCTGCAGTTTTTTAGTTTGTAGGCCACTTGGGGCAGAAGACACCTTGGGCCCATGCAGCTTCTACTTTCTATAGCAATACACCTCACAATTGAAAAGACTCCGGTTTTTGGTGGGGTGTGAAGGATTGGTACGATTTAGGTTTAAGAGTATGAATAGATTAATTCAAGTCAGAAGCAAAAGCAATGATACTACTATCAAAGTAGTTACTACAAGAAATTATCTCAGTGCCTGGCACACAGTAAGGTACACAGTAATTGATGTCTATATCACCTGGGAGCCACTGCAGTTTACCATCCTTAAACTACAGGTGGAAATCATTGGCAACTAGGACTGAATCTGGCAGTTAGAACGCTAAAGACCTAGTTATTGGCCTTTTCCTACTTGTAAAGAAACAATGGAGTTTTTTTGAACTTTGGCATTTCTAGTTTCCCTAAGAGCTGTTGTTGGATCCAAAAATTTCAGTTGATTTTATATGGCCCTTGCCATTTTCTTGATAATTAAATAGATGTAACTTATGACATCTTATGTACCGTAGATGTTTTTAGCAACTTCTTTTCTACTTCAGAAATAAAATCAGGGTGATTTTCTGTGAACTCACAAAGCCTATATTCATTTGTTGATTTGTTTATTTAAGAAGCATTTATTTACTTGAGCTACTACTTTATGCCAATTTTTGTGCAAGGTGCTGGGAATTTAGAGTGAAAAGATACAGTTCTAGCTTTTAAGCGTTCACAAACAAGTGGGAAGAGGAATGAGTGAATCTGCAATGATACTTTGCCCTATGATTTTCTGGAGGTGATCATAGAGAGCTGTGGAGGCAGAGAATGCCCAGTAATTAACCCAGGTGAATAGTCAGGGTGGGCTTTCTGGGAGGCTGTCTGAGCTGTGTTTAGAGGTTAAGTTAGGAATTGCCACATTAAAGGGAGAGGTGCAGATCCGACTGGAGGGGTAGTAAGTACCTAGGCATGTGGGAACCCGGGCATGTTTTTGTTAATTGCAAATAGTTAAGATTTAAGGGACAAATAAGACAAAACAGGAAAGCAGGAAGTAGATGCTGTAGCACCTTTATAACTTGTTGAGGAATTTGACCTTTCATCATAAAGGCTAAGGAGTTTAGTAAGAAGAGTTAACTGACCAGATTCATGTTATTGTGGGATAATCCTAATTGTTAGAAATGAATAATTTTAATTTAAAAGAGTACATGAATGTTGCTGTTTTATTCACTGGTAAATGCCAGTGTACATAATCATTAAGCTTCATAAGAACTTAGTTATTGAAAATACTGAAAATACTGTGTAAATGAGTTAATATTTATAAAGCACTTAGAACAATTCTGGACATAAGTAAGCACTGTATAAGTCTTTGTTAAATAACAGTAACTCCCTCAGGCTGCTTGAATACTATTTAGAAATTTTATGACATTACTTGAATGTAAAATGGTGCCTTAATTACCTGAGTTTAACACATTCCCAGAAGTAGGTTACAAATTACTTGAATTTATATAACTAAGTGGGATCAAATAATCCTAGGAACAGAAGAGACCTTATAGGTCATCTAACCTAATTCAGGAATTACTCTTCAGTTGGTAAGATCAAGCCATTAAGATGGATATGCTAATTATCCTTATCTGATGACTACACATTATATATATTGAAACATCAATATGTACCCCATAAATATGTATAATTATTATATGCCAATTAAAAATTTTTTGAAAAGAGTAAGAAAATTAGCAATGTATTACATAATGTTTCAGAAATCTCACAAGAAGTATAAGGTATAAAACACTTTAATTTTACTCTTACTGTGTCTTTCTTTCAGTTTTTGACCCTAAATGAGACCAGAAGAAAACTTAAATTTTGGAAGAAATTTTTATTTTAGTTTTGTTTAAGTGCTGACAATTTGATTGGTGTAATAGTAACTAGTATTAATAGTAAATAGTATGTAATAGTAAATAGTAATTCTGTTGCCATGAGTACATGTTGTAAAAGATTTCTTTACTGTGTGGTCAGTAACTTGACTGCATACTTTATTTTTATCCCAAGTGGGATGATCACCCATATTAAAAGCTTATTATGCCACAAAGTCCTAGAAATGCTAGTCAGAGTAATCATATTTGAGTATGGGTAACCTTGCTATCCTCAAGGTTGTTTACCTAGTCTGAAGTAATTTCAGTCTTGGAAAACAGCATGCAGGACTAGAATCTTCAAAATATTCAGTCTTCCTTTCTTCTGTCTTGAAATTATTTGTGCTAAAAAATTGTATGTTTTCAGGTAAAAGGATGGAACTTACATTTTTAACTGGCCTTCTATATCAGCAACATATCACCTGCTGAGTCTTACTGATGGTTTGATAACAGATAATCACATAATTGCTATTTTATTCAGTAAGCACCTCAATGATGACTTCTTTTTTTGCCATCCAAGCATTACACAGATTTACTGTAGCATCGAGGATAGATTATTTTGTGATTTATTTTGTTGTGTGGTCACCCCATACATTTTGAATAATTTGTTTTTCACCCAGTGATTGTATTTCTCTACAAGTAGCAAAATTTCTTTTCGTCAGATGTCTTCATTGTCCGTGAATAGATGGGCTACTTTTTTCTCTGTTTCCTTGTAAAGTGTAGCTTCATAAGTAGTCAAGTGCCAAGGATATAGATCTACAGTTTATCATAATTTTGATAACCAGTAACGAATGGGAAAAATGCACAATGGCAGCAAGACGGCAGCAGTAGGTGTGCTCCATTTTTATGAATAGATTTATAAATATGCCTAAGCATGGAT